ATCTTTGATGAGTCATCCTCCAATCCTAATGCCACATTCCTCATAATATTAAAATTTTTAAAAAATTACAAACTATGCAAAAAAGCCAAGAAAGTATAGCTCATTCACAAGGGGGAAAAAATTAATTGATAGAAACTATGCCTGAGTAAGCTAAGATCCTGAAGTTAGTTAAAGACTTCAAACCAACTGTTTGAGATATATTTAGAGGTAAGGAAATTGCAGACAAAGAACTAAAGGAATTAAGATGAATGATGTTTCATCAAGTGAAAAAAATATCAGTAATGACACAGAAATTATAAAACCAAATAGGATTTGCAGCTGAAAAGTACAATATTGCATGGATGGTTAAAAGAGCAAACCAGAGAAAGTAGACCAGAGTGCTTCTTAGAGTCACGGATGATGAAGATTCATCTCACTTACTTTGGGCATGTTGTTAGGAGAGGCTATTCCTTTAGAAAGGGACATCATGTTTGGAAAAGTGAAGGGTCAGTAAAAGAAAGGAAGACCTTCAATGAGATAGATTGTCACAGTGACTATAGCAATGGACGCGGGTGTGTCAGAGATGATGAGGACAGAACAGGATTAGGGAGGGTTCAGATCTGTTGCTCATAGGATCCTTGTACTTTACTTGACAAGTTGTACTTTACTTAACAACAATAACAACCCTAAAACAGTTCAACAGCAGGTTTGAGTAAGCTTAAGAAAGAATTGGCAAATTTAAAGGTAGGTCAACTGAGATTATCAAGTCTGAGAAGCAGAAAGAAAAAAGAACTAAGTCAAAAGAGACCTATGGCATACCACACAACATACCAGTAAACACAAAATGGAAGTCTCTTAAGAGAAAGGAAGAAAGAAGAAAGAAAGAGCATTTGAAAAATAATAACAGAAAATTTTCCAAGTTAGATGAAAATAATTTCCCCATTCATTCAAGCAGCTCAGCAAAGTCCAAGTAGGGTAATAGTTTAAAAGTCAAACAAAACTAGAATGATATGGTTTGTATCATACATTATAATCAAATGTGGAAAGTCAAAGACAATCTCAAAAGCATCAAAAGGCAAGCAACTTATCATGTACAAGGGATCCCCAATTATCTCATTTGAAATTATGGAGGCCCCAAAACATGTCAAATACTGAAAAAAAACTCTGCTAACCAAGAATTCCATACCTGATCTTTGAAAAACGAAGATGAATTTAAAATATTCTAAGATAAGCTAAATCTGAGAATGACCATGGCCTGGATCAGGTGCACCTTTGTCTCTAAATTGACATCATTGCTTCTCAGTACTTTGGAGAGGTCCTTGACAGCAGATGTTG